AGCGTGATGAATGAGAGCTTCTTCACTTACACGTCTTTTAAAAGTATCGTGGTGATCGAATAATTTTAGCCTGCTGAAACAGCACATGCAACATAAAAAGGAGAACTATCTTCCCTGCTACGCACAGAGTATGTCTGAATGACAACAGCTCAGCTAGGATAAAAAAACTGAGACCATTTCTGCTGTCACAGTCTGGACTATAGATAAATGGTCTATTTAACATAAGGTGTACTAAATATTTGTTGCAAATACTATTTGAGCACCACAATAATTAGGAATCATAAATACCTATGTAACTATGGCTTGAGAAACTGCTCTTCCAGGCTATATGCGAGTGCTGGAGATTTTGCAATCCCCCCTTGAACTGTAAAGCTGTCTGACTGCACAGCAGCTGGAATCAGACTCTCATCCCACAGACCAAACTGCACTGTAAATCTCCCAAACACAAGAAGTATATACAGAAGAAATCTTAGCAAGTCCTTAAATCTGAATGTTCTGAGGTTTTTCTGTTATCAAAACAGTGTGAAAGCCTTCTTAAAATGATTACAAGCCCACGTGTAGGCAACATAAATATATACAGATCCTGATTTAAAAAAGAAAAAAAAGTGAAATCTGTTTAGACTTCAACATTAAGATTCCCTTACCCTAATATAGGGCATTAAAGTCCTAGGTGATTTTCAATAATTTTACTTAAAATCATGTTAACTGTGTCAGCTTGAGGGCCTCTGCTCTTCGTCCCAGCTCTGGAGGACCAGCTGTCAATCATTCATGCTGAGTTTCTAGGAAGGTGCCCCACAGGGGTCTGTGACTGGGGTACAGGCCAGTCCAGTGCCAAGAGGCTTCTCCTGCGATAAGCCATTATATCAACAGCACTTAGCGGCACAGGGCAACACAACAAGTAAACAGTTGGCATTAAGCTTCTTAGCTTATGCTCAGTACTCAGGAAACAGAAAGGGAGCTTCACCACTCTTCTCACATGGAGCTACAGAATAGGGACAGCAAAGCTAATGTCAAAGATGAATTCCCACAGGAAAAACAGATGTGTCATTTCCTCACAGCAAGTTCATGGAAGGAGGGAAATACTTAAATAAGCAGCTGATGAAGTCTATTCATTCAGGAGGACGAGACAAAATAAGAATTTCAGGAATATAAATTTCACATGAAAATTTGTAAAAAGGTTTTTACAGACAACTGTATTTCCTTAGAATCAAAAGGGACACAAGGAGATGATTACAAGCTTCTTAAATAATTCATACAAACACTAAAAAGTATCCTAAAAAAAAAATATATGTTTTCCTTAAAAAGTCTAGTTTTATACACCCAGACCGTACTGTCTCACAAGAGAAAAGCTTTCAGTCCTACAATCATATCATTCAGAGGAAAATACCAATACTGTGAAACTGCTCCCAGAGGATGGGGCTATCCAATTACCCAGATGGAGAGGTAGGCAGGGGGAAAGTAGACAGCTCTGTGCCCCTGCCTTCTTCCTATTGTGCCAAAACACCCAGAGGGACAAAGCCAGCTGAGCTGCAGAAGGTCAGCCTTCGCTTCCAGCCTGGGATTTCAGATGGGTTCAGGCACCTACTTGCTCCCTAACAACCACTTAACACTATTAGTTTCAGGCATTGCACAGGAACCCCCTCTGCAAATCTATACATCATCTTCATCCGCCTCCATTTTTGGACTTCTGTTTCAAAAGAAAAACAAAACAAAACAATCTAGTCTACATTATACAAATCTGCACTAGAACAAAGTGCTTCACCAAGTAAACTCCTCCTCCTATTTTAATGATTGCTAACTAATATCTTGTCCATCCAGGGGTATTTCTTCCTATAACACCCAAGCCAACACGTAGGCTGCGTTAAGGGGAAAAAAATGCCTGCTAGTAGCAAGCTTAAAGAAAGCCATCTAGGCAAGCCTGCCTGAAATCTTTAACATCAGAGTTCAGCTGCCAGGAACTATTACAAACCATGTACAAAATGAAAATGTACCTCAAGGAAAACTGTAAGCTGAACAGATATTACTTAGAAGGAAAATAGTTCTTTCTACTAACAGAAAGTTAACAGAGGAAGTAATCCTGTACCTCAAAACCTGTCAAAGTGAGTGAACATGAGTATGTGAACATAGAAATACCAGAGGAGCTATGACTCTGTAGTAAACCATTCTAAAAATGCTGTTCAGATTACACAGCATGAGAATCTCCCTAAAAGGCAGCTTAGACTAACAGTTAACGTTGCGACGGATATTAAATCTAGACAGAGTTTTAAAAAAAACCCAACAAACCCCAAAACAACAACAACAAAATAAACCACTGACATTATTAACTGCAAATTAAGATCGGGAGCCTTGAATACCCAAGTATTAGTATTGAAGATGCAATACACAATTACAATAAGCATTGAAGTGTAAGAATAATAGTTTCTCGCATTTAGTGCTTTGCCACCTTAAAGCCACAAGATTACCTAGCCATATAGCCAAATTGGAGTGAGAAAATTTTATTGTGTTATACAAAAACTGAAGTTCTGCATTCACATCAAAAAAGTGGATCAGTGAGAGAATATATTTGGGCTTTTAATCACAAAGTTGCTTAAACTTCAGTATGTCACCTGCAAAATATTGTAACAGTGTCTTTCATCTTACTGTGCATAATTAAAAGGACTGCAAAACCCATTATGACTTTCCAATAAAATTTCTCAAACCACTATATGTAATTGTTGCATACTTGCTCTATTTTCAAGCATCTAAGAACTTCAATGAAAGTGACAAAAATGATCTATTTTGAATTATCTCATGCAGAAATCATACTTACTTGGACCATTGTTTTGTCAGAGTACATCAATTCAATTGTCCGATGTATTCTAGATATACTTTCTTGTAAATCTAAAAGAAAAATAAAAAATAAGCTCTCTTCCATAAGGTTGCATAATTGCACATGGCTACATCTTTATTTGATCTCATTAAAAGCCAGACAAGGGTGTGTTTCACATTTGGTGCATCCGTTTATCTACCTACATACCAAGCACTAAACCTTCTCAGATGATAAAACAGAGAGTGATTCGTGATATGCTGCTGCTTGTTTCCTAGCCCACCCCTGCTGGAACAATTGCTCCCCTTGTTTCCCTCAGAGCAACAGAACAGACCATAAGTTCTATCCACTCCAAAAAGCCTTTGCTCAGAAATTTGCTGATTTTTTCCCTTATGGAAGGGGTCACTCTAAGCTAAACTCCCTCACAGAGCACCAAGTCATAGCATGGGCCCAGCCACTATCACACTGGCAGCTCAGACACTTCTGCAGCATGGATCCTACCTCTGTTTCTGCTCTCCTCAACACCACCTCAAAACCTGTGCTGAAATACCTGTGTATGCTTCACTCTATGCCCAGTTTACATCTTCAGCCTATACACTCCCTAGTCTACGACAATCTCGGACTGACTTCCCTTCCTATGTGCTCTAGATAAGTACAAAACAAACAACTCAACACACACGTGGACATGAAGGCAATTCCCCCTACTTCCACAAATCTCTCTCACAGAAAATGCATTCTGTGGCTTATGGCCTTACCTCTAGTGTCATTCTCTACTTCAGTCCTCCAGCGATGTAAACAGCCTTCTAGAACAGAAAGCTCCTCCTCAGTGATGTGCCTCGGCGCTGGGTGCATTGGCAGATCAGGAGGAATTCGTGATTGTGTGAATGGCTTATGTATTACTGATCTTTGTACAGGAGATGTGCTTGGAACATCTGAAGATGAAGGCCCCTGCTGCTCTACTGTGCTGCATTCATTCAAAACATGAAATACTAACATTGAGTCATCGTATATACAAACCAAAAGCCACACCATAAATAAGCTTTGCATCCAAAAATAGAAATTATAAAGGTGATGATTTCCTACAGTGCAAACCAGGAAAGGTACCTACAATATCAGTAGGGAATTAGTATGTAAATCCTGAAAACTTTGTGGTGCGCTACATGTCACCACAGTAACAACTCTGGCTGCCATTACCAAAGATAAAGGAATCTGAATTAGATCAGTCAAGCCACAGTTTGTGTTACTTGAAATGCTATTCAAAACTTTCAAATAACGTCATACAAGTAATCAGTGTGGTCTGAAACATTTACTGCCAGACTGCAGAGAAAAATAAAGCCACAGCAGCTTGCCTTCGGCCCACTGACCATAAAATCCAATAAATACAAGTTCTCTGTTTAGTAACTTCACATCTTATGCCTAGCAAACTTTCTTTCCAATCACCTACCTATAATTTATGTTAACTGAACAGCAACAACTAAGGGACCTCCGATATTCACGGCACACTGGAAATTTAGCACAAAACCATCTAAACTTGTTCCAAACAAGTCTTGTAACTCAAACAGCAAAGCAGCCAGCTTATGAGAATTCTACAAGGGCAGCAGAATAACATCAGAAAATAGTATCTGTTACACATTTTTCACTTCTCATCAACAGGAGCACTTATATATAATCATATGTATAACAGGAATCTGAAGATCTTTCTAGCAAGAAACTGACTTTTTACTTTGTGTACAGCATCAAGATACAGCCCGAGGAACCTGGATTCTTCAGCAGTGTAGAAGGTTCTGCGAACATTAAGAACTGACCATATCACTCCACATAACATGCTGATGTGCTTCTACAGGTTGACAAAAAAAAGTTGTAATACTCACATTGTTGCAGAACAAACTTCCCATATAGAAGTTTGAACAAAGTATATTACTTCCGATACTGTATTTCATGCAAACAATGGTAGCTTTTAAAAGCTGTTTTTCTTATCAATCATCATGATTTCTACTGGCATTATTATATCAGTAAGACATCTGAAATATTTTAAAGACTTTTTAGATTAATTTACTTAACTTCTCTACAAAGTTAAGCATCTTGACTGGACCAGAACCTAAAACCTTACTAACCAAATGCAATATAAAAAGCTCTGTTGTAAACTGTTAGTGTCCACCTAGCCAAGTCCTATCCTAAGTTATACTCTTAACTGTTACAAAGAGTTAATAGCTTCAATAATGAGAAAAATAACATTACTGGACCTTTATCTCCCTGATACATTGCTGTTTGAGAATCTTGGTCAGAAACGTAAGCTGCAAAGCAGAAAGGGAGCTTCGCTCCCAGACAAAAAGTAACAGATAAACTATACACCAGAAACACTGAAGGTCTACAGCACATACACCCTGCCCAAATTCAGATTCTTAAAACAATACACTTGGGCAGCAGTGACCTCACCAGATATTGTGCCTGTCTGGAATTGTAGGTGGAATTGTACTTAGTTTGAAAACGGTAATTCTCCACCTAAAGACATTTATATAGGCATGTGATACAAACACAGATTACTAACATTTTGGTTTATGTAAATCTGTTGTGCTGAAAAATACTACTAGAAAGGGAGCAGACACATTATGCTATATCCCTTAGGAGAGGCCTAGTTGTATTAGTCCGGTGAATGAAGCAGTTAAACTTCCTCCCCTCTCTCTCAGCACCCAGGCTTCCACTGACGGGATGAGTGGCCTCTCACCTTGGGGAGCAGGTGGCAGCCCTTACCTGGGCGATGTCTGGGCTGGCAGCGTGCCACTGGCAGGGGCACTAGCACCCAGGTCATCGACGGGAGACGTGCACACCGGCTTGCTGGAGGCAAACTCCAAGGCATACTGTAGGACATCTACCAAGGGGAATCGTTTAGGACCAGAACCATAGCTTAAATATCTGTTAACCACAAAACGTATTAATGCCATGACTCACATATACAAAAAAAAAAAAAAAGTATTATTTTCTGGTTGACTACAGTTAAATAAAGCAAGCCTTTCCTAGCATGTTTAATGCATCAGAACTACCACGATGATACACAGTTTCCAAGGAAAACTAAGAGAAAAAGAGATACAGCAGGGCAATTTAGAGCAAATAACTACACACAAAGTGCATAGTTGAAAGCAGTTATTCTGTGCAGCCCATAGTATTATTTGCAGTGACACTGGGAACAGTTATCTATAGTACCGTTCTAATCTCTGCTGTAAAACTGTGAGGTACTCTTTGAGTCTCTTGATTTCATCCCGTTTAATTCTTGTTATTTCTCTGTTTTTGTGCATATACCTGTAAAACAAGAAAGTCAGAAAGAGGTGTCAGTCCATAGTATTCCAACACTGGAACTGAGGTCTGTACCCATCAGTCATACCACTTACTGCTAATAAAAACTAAACCTCTCTAGAACCTTGTGTTACCTACAACACGTTACGCAGTAAAACAGAACTGAGAAGAAAACCATAACCCCATTAAGCCTCCCCCCCACAACTTTCAGAAGATGCTTTATCCCCAGTGTCAAACCTCTGCTCATAACATGGATGTGTCTTTCAAATGTATACAAACACATACCAGAAAGCTTCTGAATTAAATGGTTTAAGTAGCAATCACATAGCAATACTCCTGTTTCATTGTTTAGGCTCACAAATAACATTCAGCATCTAACGGAAAGCCAAGTATTTCACCTCTACATATAAACAGCACACACTGATGTTGAGAATCCTCTTCAATCCATGCAATCTATCTAGAACACCATGAAATATCTGATTACTCATCCTCTTTCCCAAATGGACTCATAAACAATGCGATTTTTCAGAGTATTTTGCCTGTCTACACAACTACCTAGTAATAAATTAAAAACTGAAGTGTAAGCAGGTTTTGGCACAAAATAGCAGTAGGTCTTACATTGTTATCTATGTGCATCTTCTGAAACAGATAAAACTCATAAAAATTATAACTTGTCCAACTACAACAGAGATTTACTGCAATTTAAGCAAGTACAAGATGCACCACCAACTTCATCAAACTCATGAGATGTCATTCGTATTCATATAAGGACTTTGTTGACAATATTATACTGTACCTGTCCAGATACAAAATTGGAGGAAATTCTAATTTGTTGTGTATCTTCTCTGGTCTCCCCAAAGCCTGATTAAACTCAAATCTTGAGAGCTCAAAAGTTAAGACAGGAGGAAGCTCAGTGAACCAGTGCTGAACAAAAGAAAAACAGAAAACTCCACAATGAATGCCTTCCAATAGCAGAACTTCAGTAATAACGTTACAATACCTGCACAATGACATAGGTATAGCATAAAATGGTTTTAGCTAGTGGATCGGCACAAGCTTTCCGAAGTACCCAACTGTCACCTTCACTGTAAACACAGACCATTTGACACCCATGCTGCATCAGAGCTCTTCAACTCATCTATCACTATCAGCGTTAAAGCAGAGCAGGCGGGAAGGCTTCTTCCTTTCACATTTGTCTCGCCCGTACCAAAAGTGGCCTACGCTTGAACCCACCTGCACTGCCAACTGTCCTCTTCTCCTTTACCTCTCTAAGGCCACCCAGAGTTGTTTATACTGTATCGAGTGCTCTTCCCGCAAGCTGCCTCAGACTCAAGATTCTGACCCTTTCATTCACCTGATACCGCTCAAAGTTACTAATGACCTCCTCTTGAGCAGGGTCAGTGAGTACCGAGTCCGATGAGCTCTTTCAGCACTACAAAACCGATACTTTTTCTTGAAATCTCCTTCCTACTGACAGACCTGAAGTTTCTGCTCATGTCTCTAATCATGGCTAATCCATCCATGGACCAACCCATCACCTCCCCAACTGCATCACCTTATCTCAACTGTCTTTGAGTACCTAAACAGTTGTCTCTCTATCTAACACACTTTGGATGTCTAACCATCAACTCAAGCTCCCCTGATTCCTGTGGACACCAAATGTCTTGAATAGTCTTTCCTTTCAATACCTCCATGACAGCCTTTTCTTCCTGCACTCAGGGCTGAAATTCAGATCTAGGTTCTCATCACTCCACATCTCAGTGCAATGTTTCTTCTCTGCTCCCTTTGCCTGGCCTTAATGCACGGAGCCTTATCACATATACAGATTTCCAAGATGTTGCTGCATTTTCTTAGTTCACTGCCTTCAGCATCACTCATATCTGTTTACAGGCAAAATGAACCGTCTTCCCCTTTCTTGCCTATGTCAGCCTCCACTAACTGCTTTTTCAGTCATAAAGGAGACAATAATGACTTTTCTCTTGCAGCAACTACTTCACGCAGTAATAAATAACAACGCTGAAGTCAGCAAAGCCACACCACAAACCTTCCCTAAAACTCTTTTATGGCGAGGCCCCCAAACCACTTAACGATGACTAAGCTGCTGATGTGCTGAAGTTCATCAGCCATGATGCTGACAAACATCTAATTTCACTTCTAACTCCACGTATGTGCACTGACCTCCATCTTCTTTTGAATTTGGATTTAAGTTCAGGGAACATCTCTTTCTTCTGTTTGTACATTAGCTCACTTGCTCACACCCTACTCCACAGTTGAGGCTTTTAGGCATCATTATGATAATAATAAAAATAATAATCAATTAGCAAAATACCTCATTAAAAGCAATGGTTGGATCAAGGGAAAAAGGAGTTACTTCCAGGATAAAATGGACCTTTCAACACATGCAGCTACCACATTAATATTATTCCCTTTAAACTTTGATATCTACCAGCTCGGATAAATGCCACTTGAAGTCTTTGGTCAGCAGAGACAGACTTTGTTAAAACTACAAGAAATTCAGCTTCCTTCAGTATTTCCAAACCTTCCAGTACTGTAACATCTTTATGTCTAGCCTAACTAGTAACAGCAGCAACCATTATAAATTACTTCAGTTGAGGGAAACATAATGAATTTACTTGGCCCTGGTAATAATGGAGTAATGTTTTTTCAAGATTAGGACTTAATGCGTTACCTTTCTTGTTTTGCCACTGTTGTCAATCTGCCATATGACTATTTCACTTCCATTGCCACATGCTCAGAAGCCAAGCTGATTAAAAACCTGACAGTTTCATAGAACTCAAAGCTTAACACTCTAAACTTGTACATCCTTCTGTTCCCCATAGTTTCCTGCCACTGCAGGTTAAAAAAAACTCTCAAACCCAAAACAAACCAAAAAAACCCAAGTCTGATATTTCTGTCAAGCATTTATAGCTGAATGCAACAAACTGGGTGCACACAGGTTTCAACTGACAACCTCAAGTCCGTAAGATTAACAACCTTGCTCTTATAGTAGGTACATGTAAGATTTTACCTCGCATAAATAAACTGAGCTTTTAATTGTACCAAGATATTTATGAGATTTTTTTCTTCCAATTATATTTCAGAAAACATGCTCATTATAAGAAGTAATTTCTAGAAGCATTGGAAGAAAAAAGAAAAAAGTAAACATCCTGTGAAAGAAGAACACATCCAGTAAGTTGTGTAAAATGCTTAACATTTGATTTGGTTGATCAATAATTGATCAACAATAGCTAATCAGGAAAAGGGACTGCAAAAGGGATGCTGTAAAACCTTTATATTTCCAATTTGGTGTTATCAGCAACTTCGGACTGGAGAATGATTCCAGTTTGTGTCACTAGGCTTAGTAATTATACCCTGTATGTACACCCATATACAAGGAAGCAAAATTTCATTACTGCAAAAGACTGACATCAAGGAAGAAACTATTCCTGAACTTTTTACTTAAGTAGAAGAAACCTCTTAGGATCTTTCAAAATAACTGTGAAGAAACGTGAGTGACTGTGTAAAGAGAAAGTAGCTCAGCCTTTACAAGCAATGCAAATTCTCCTATTTCCAGATCAATAACCCACAGGTTTTTAGAGAGAGCTCTGCCAGAGAAAAAGGCTGGGTGTATACGTGCATGCCAGCAATAAGGAGGGACCTTTCGGAGCACATCCTCTTGGTCTTACAACCATCAGTCCAACCTTTGCTTAACCTGTGACCTCTACACAAGAAATCTCATCCGTCACCTTATCCCAACACCATACACTGCATACCCCACTTCTTAGAGGGGCTCCATTTGAGTCCCCCCACCCATGCCTCCAGCATGCTCTGACATTTGGCAGCCTCCTGACCCAGCAAGAGCTCTCCTGGGAGGAAAAGCAGTCCGTAGAGCAAGTACTGACTGTCCACTACTGTGAGCAAAGAGGAGATCTGCCCACTGGAGGGAGCAAAGAGGAGGATGCTGGGAAACGCCAGTGAAAAGGGATGAGGGGAAGAAGGGTTGGGTACTAGGGAATTACAAGACAGAGCACAGAGGAGTAACATCAATGCTCCAAAGCAGTGGTCACACACACAGCTCAGGGTTGTTGTTTACAGCATGGCACAGAGTGGCAAGTCAAAGCAGAGGTCAGCTACCACAGGACATTACACCCATGACCCCTCTGGAGATCCAGTATCAGCAACAGGTGGGAACCAGCCAGTGCCAAATCACTGTAAGCACTTAACTGTGCCAGCTTTTAATAAGCATGAACTTCACATCTTATGAAAAATACAAATATATGATACTCCAGACACTCCAAGAGAGATATGATTGGTTTGTTAATTTGGGAGGGTTTGTGCCAGACATCAGAACCTGCACAACAGCAGGTCACACACAGAAAAAAACCCCACAAACCCCAACGAAGAATAAAGAGCACTATAACAACACCCTGAGAGAAGCCCACAGAAGCACTTAACTCACCTCCTGACCAGACTTTGCAGAGTTTTCTGAATGGAGAGATTCAATTTCCCCTTCAATCATCGCAGCTTCTAGGCACTCGTGCAGATCTTTAAAGCCATTAACCTGGAGTGGATACTGGCCAAACATTTCTGTGTTTTCAAATTTTTTACCTTCACATAAGAAATGAAACAGTTAAGGTTTTAGGAACAAACATTCACCCTTAAAAACAACTCCTAACAACCCTAGGTCACCTGACCTAGTCTACTATACAATACCCATGCTTTCTTACTGAACAATTCAATTATATATATGAAAACAAGTTACTTGGAAAACTGGGCTGAATGCAGTATTAAAAATTACTTTCTTTTCCTCTTCAGCTCATTTTTTATACTGTTTTTCCATCTACTGGTGATAAGCAAAACTCAAAAGGACTTGGCACCACAGATTTACACATATAAATCAAAGTCATCCTCCCGCAAATAGCAGCTCAGTAATACAACCGTACATTGTGTCACCAAAGTCAGTGGAACTGCTGGTATGAAGCAGCCCTTTGTATAAGCACATTTTGCAAAAATAAGCCAACAAAGATAGCATTCATGATTTCCGTCCTGAGCACAAGATCATAATTTGGTAACAATCTATAAAGATGTAAGCTCAAACATGAGGTGAAATGCAGGTAACAAGTGATTTCAATCTACAGTTTCAATTTATTTCACCTCAAAATCAGTATCAAGCCTTCTTACATCCACCAGGTTTTCTCACTGGTTTGGTTTTCACACATCCCCTCAGTTAAGATGAGAATGTAAGGGATGAAAATAGCCCAAAGCAAAGGAGCAAGAATGCTAGCTAGTAGCAAGGAACCTGCAGAATGGTTTTGAAAAAAAATTCACTCTTGGGATGGGGGACAGAATCACCAACAGTAAAAATACTTTCACAACTGGTGGCCTCCAGGAAATTGAGAACACTCAATTCTGCAGCTACTAAACACATGCAGAAAAAATAAAGGGAAGCTTGTTGTACAGTCTCTTCCTCCTCAGTACTATTTCCAACACTGCCCTTGAGCAGGCTTCCACTCACTTGTTTTCAACAAACTACTTTCAAGAGGGTGAGTTATCCATACCATTAATTGTGCAGAAGAAAATGCAATAATTGACATTTTAAACTGCAATAAATGAAGCAAGAGAGTGTGAGAGACTAGCTCAGTGAATAACAGTAACTTGCCTTCTGTATACCATTAATAAATAGCAAAAGTGCCCTGATGATAATTTCTTGCAAACATTTTTGGTCAGCGCTCAGCTCCTGAAAGTTACCAAAACAGTCTTTCTGGACCACTGCAGTTCACTACCTTTACCTTCAGTCTCATATTCTTAAGACAAACCTTTTGTCACAGACCAAACACATATTCTCCAAGTATACTTCTGCAGAAGTCGCTAAAATACTACAACTCTGTCCTTCCCCTGTGTTCTTAGACAAGCACTGAACAGACAGGAGTGCAGAAGTCCAAAACAATTCAGATGCATACCTTCAAGTACACCTACTGCTAGAAATCGTCCATAAAACAGCTCCACCATTGGATTCTTTGGTTTCTCTCCATCCCTGAAAACAGAAAGCATGTTAGCGAAAAATCAAACACAAAGCTATGAACTTTTATAAAACTGAGGAGAATATTCTGACTTCATTATGGAAAGGCTGCTTATTTTACTCAGTTACTGTTCTTTAAGTTTTGTACTTTAATGACAACAACAGTGATTCACGTATCTGCAGTGATAAGTATATTCTGAAAGCAAAGTTACACAAGTGCTTCCTTCTAGGAAAGTTTATGTAAATCAGATTCAATTCATGAGTGGTTAAACTGCACAAAGCCCTTGTAAAAACTATTTCCAGCAACACTCTAGAAACAATTATGTATTCAAAAAGACAGTCTACAAGTGTTCACTTATACAAATGATGAGTATTCGCTTGAGAAGAGAAACAGGACCAAAGTTTTCAAGTATCTAAACTACAGGATTGAAAAGCAAAACTGCATACAAATGAAAAAAATCCTAACTGATTAAGTACAAAACACATATCTACTGTTTACATACTTTGGATTTCATTCAGCAAGATTTCTAACATGAAATAAGAAGGTGAAAAAAGACAATTCATGGAAAACTGAAGGCATTGGCACATATGGAAAAAACAAGCTACAGAGTTGGCTCTTTTTCAGCCATACAGGGAGAAGTGGATTTCTGGTTGCTTGGTTTGCTTTTTCTCATCAAAATATTCAATACACAGAGCTCGAAAATAAAATCTTACCTCTCTTCTTCAGCTTTAATTTGGAAGGCATCTTCTAGCCAATCTAACAATTTGTGTGTAAATTCACTAACATCTTGCTGTTGAAAAATATAAAGTGATCAGTATATGTTTATATATGTAGCAGAACACAATGAAGTGTCACCTTACAAGACCAGTATAGCAGTATAGCTACTCCCCGCCAAGAGCTCCAAAATCACACCGTGTCTAAGACTACGCCATGATTGGTTTTTTACGGGTGGCTCTCAGAGCACACTAAGGCTCTGGTGTTCCTCAGCATTACACTGTCCTGTGATCCCTGTCACTTGGGCTCAGCTTTCATACCATGCTAGTCCAAAGGCATCTGATGAATCCCATTGTCCAAACCCCTTGGTATCTAACAAGTGGTGACTAATATTACTTTCATCGAGCACTAAAAACTCAGCATGCTGTTGTAATTAAACAGCCTAGTTACAAACCTATGTGGGAAAAATAAAGCATCTGAAGAAAAAGTTTTTTCAGAAAAGCAAAATATACCCATTGTGATTTAGGTGAGCATCCTGAATAAGACTATTAGAACCCTCCAAACCAGTATCTATACAGACAAATAGTATACTAGAACTGTACCAGACCTGGATGTACTGTTAGAAGAACAAACCTCTTTCAAAAACCACAGACTTAGAAGCTAAACTAAACCCTGAAAGCAAGAATGTGGAACCATTAGTTTCTAAAATAACAGGAAGACAGCATACAGAATAAAATAGCCATGCTGTCCAGAATTTTTTTTTAATTATTTTTGAATAAAAGTGACCAGAGATCACATACTAACAGAGAAAAAGCTCAAAGACTCTGATAATTAGAAGTTTCTTTTCTGTGGACATTTTTGAATTATTGTCATCCATTTGAAGTATGTCCTACTGCCAGATGACCATAGGAAAACATGCATAAGCTTGAATGAAAATACACAGAAATTACCTGTTGGGAATCATTTGATTTAAAAGCATCTTTAAGGATCGCTCTTGATGGGTCAACATATTTTCTCTTCGAACCAACTAGAAGGGCAAAGAGGTACCTCAATTCACGCATGAAAGGCAGATTCCTGTGTTCCTGTGTTCGAAGAAGAATTTAAATATTTAACCATGTGGTAACAAAAAATCTACTTTACAGAAGCGTTACCCAAGGAACTAAGCGTATATCCAGCCAATCATCATCATAATATATAAGCTTACTTGTAGTACTACCAAGGTAGTATTGCATGCCTTTTACTTGTCAGTTTTACAAAGTAATGTAGTTCTCTTGGAATAAATTTACCTTTCACAAACTGAAAGCTCCCTGTTTGACTTGAAATTATGCTGAATGGACAAGTGGACAAGCTTGAGTTGTATTTTAAGACAGAACTGCTGTGCCTGAGACTTACAAAGCCTTAAGTAATACACTGCAACAATAAGCATTGATTTTATTGAAATTAGTATTGTTCTATACCTCTAGCAGAATTTCTTGTGAGCCTATACACTGCCTATTACCTTTTTAAGCTTATTTTTCACTCAAGACCAAATTTATAAGGTATACACAATTCATGATTATTTCTCTTGACAGAAATAAGAAAAAGAGCCTGCTCTCCTTTCTGCCTATTTAAGTATAGTTCATGGGGAAAATGGAGTTATCTTTCTGGTTTCCAGGAGAGAAGCAGAAGACATACTTTATGCATGTCAAACGAAAAGCAAGTAAACTGAAACACAAATCCATCATACAATAGATTAAACCACAGGTTACAAATGCTGTGGAGACTGGCTATCGTTCATACTCCTGAGTACATAGTTGACAAATACCTGCAAAACTAAAACCCATGTAATACCCTCTTGTATTTAGAACAGAGTATCGTTCAAAGGCAGCAGAGATGTCAGATGCTGGTCAAACTGGAATTACTTGATGACAAACTATGTCACATACTCATCAAAGAGCAGACCTGTTCAGTGACTCCTGCGTGAATCCAGCATGCATAAAGCTTTTTGTACATAAAGTTTGTTTTATTTCAGCTTTAAAAACCAAGCATGGCAAATTGGAATATGTTCTGCATAATACCTAAAAAATACTTCCAGTCACATAAATCCCCAAGGTTTACTTGCTCCTCTACTCCGCCTTACAAAACATCTGCCAAGTCTAAACAATGTTCACAGAAAAGGCTGAAGGCTTCATCAAATACCACTCTAATTCAGCATTAGATCATCATAATTTAAGATAAAAATCAGTCTCCCATTTACATATTTAAAGCACTTTATAACAACAAAATAGGAAACAAATTGTGAAAGTGATTTTTTTTCTTACAATTTTCGTGGAGTGATCTATCAGACCTTTGATGGTCAGAGGGCTGGAGCACCTCCCCTATGGGCACAGGCTGAGAGAGTTGGGGCTGTTCAGCCTGGAGAAGAGAAGGCTCTGGGGGGACCTTACAGTGACCTTCCAATACCTGAAGGGGTCCTACAGGAAAGCTGGAGAAGAGCTGTTCAGTAGGGCATGTAGCAATAGGATGAGGGATAATGGTTTTAAACTAGAAAAGGGTAGATTTAGGTTGGATACCAGGAAAAAGGTCTTCAATATGAGGGTGGCAGATCACTGGAACGGGTTGCCTAGAGAGGTGATGGAGGCCCCATCCCTGGAGATATTCAAGGTCAGGCTTGATGGGGCTCTGAGCAACCTGATCTGGTAACACTGTCCCTGCTCACTGCAGGGGGGTTGGACTGGATGATCTTTAAAGGTCCCTTCCAACCCATAATATCATCATATACACAATATAAAGAATTGACCACAGAATACCCTAGATCTCACTTTCCTTTTGTTAAATCTGAAGTACGTAGGCATTGAGTATTATTGCATTACTTACCCAAAGTTATACTACTAATTTGGCTGTTACAAGCATACTTGTAGCTTTAAGCTGAAAACTGGCTACTGATGTCAGTAGGATTACTCAGAACAAATATCTCTGTAAAGCCTATAAAAGTTCTCTAAAACTAGAAAAATAGTTTTTTTGTTTTTTGAGAAATCTTGATTTAATGCATTAGGCATGATCCTTGACCAGATTATGTGGGTATTACCACAACAAACAGTGATTCTGACTAAACAAAGCCTAAAATCTTTAAAAGGTCGTGAGCCAGTTTCCAAAACAAGGTATATAGTTCCTCAAAGAACTTGCACACTTAAACAAAACAACTAATAAAGCAATCACAGCACAGCATACAGCTCTCAGTTTCAAAGTGTACTGTAGGTACAGCATCACACACAAAAAAGAGATTAATTTTGAAATAAAAACTGTATGGAAAGTTCATAATGAAAACATTCTATTTTACCACATATCCTGTCTGCATAAATAACTGCTTCATACACTGATGTTCAAACAATTCATAATTAAGAAATGCTTCTAAAGCAATCTACATGTTTAATACATAGCAAACATTCATTATTGCCAATCAGTATGCCAGGACATCAGCAGAACAATAATGCTGAAACAGGGGGAAGGATGTGCTAACCTGTAGCACAGTAACCCACTTCCCCTGATAATAAAACATTTCCTGAACATACCATTGAGGCCAAATATTTAGCTGCTCTCCCTGCACAGAGCAAAAAGGATCAGTTCATACAACTGCAAGAGGTAAGAGAACTGGGAGAGCAGAGAGGCTGCAGTAACCACAGAGAACCATATTCGTTCTACAGAAAGAAGCTGAGGAAGATGTCAAGGACAGAAAATGAAAATTCAAATGACAAAGAACAAAAATGGGTCAGAGACCTTAAGTGTACGCCCAAGTTTACAATCCAGAAAAACAAAGCCCAGTGAGCTGAGGCAAACAGTGGGGTGGATGTTTGGTTTTGGATGGTTTTTTTAAGTCAAAATTTATACCAATGACTTCTGAATTAAAAATTTTATACTGCAAATTATTAATAGCATTTAGATTCAACACAGCGATAGGATCGTACAGAAACACCCCACTGTGCAATACTCCCTGAATTACAACCACATGCTTTAATTCTACGTCAAGCAGTTGTCACGACCCTAGCACCAAACTCTATTTTCCACCAACTGGAAGAACAACAGGATGTAAACCAAAGACTTGAAAATCTGACATTATTAATTAGATAATAAGATTATTAAATCTTGGTCTTTATTAGCAAGGAAATTTGATCCTACGGAATGTCACTCACATACAGTACTTAATACGAGGTTAAAAATAACAACCGAACCAACACCAAGTCAAGATAGTTTTAAAATAAGCAAGAAGATCGAAGTAAATTTCAGGACTTCTTTTTGTCAACTGGTACCGTATATTACAACTCTAAACCGATTTGCCCCTACTTGCCTTCACCTTATAAAGAAAGGGAGCATGCATGCGTACTTCTTCTATTTGTCAGTTCCAATTAGTGCAGTGATCTGTTTTCCTAAGCTCGCCCCAAAACATATTTCAACACTAAGACAATCCTTTTTCAGCTGTTGATAAGGCAGACGAGTACATCAATTAATAATGTCATCGCATTCTGGAATTCAGGTTGACAAAGGAGAGGATACAAACAACTGCCAGAGATTCTTACTAGGAGGCACGCAGAAGGCGAGGTTTCTGCACTAGTCCATATACTTGCCTGGTGTCACAATATTTCACACTGCCTTAATATGGTCTGTTATGGTCAGAATTTGTAAGAAACAGCACTTTGGAACTGCTAAAGGCATTCCGCTGCCAGTGTCAATGCTTGGGCAAGATATTTTTCAAAGATAACAGCTTGTTATCATCTATTTCATACCACCTCTTAGATGCCAACTGCTTTTTACACCCTGAAAAATGAAGGTAAAGAACTCTGGGTACTGGAGTTTATTACCAAAACAAATTATAAGATGAATAATGAAATACCAGGCAGAAAGTAAATCTAAAAATAAAAAAATAAAATATTTCAGTATAACTCTTCAGTAAAGCACGACTTAGTATCTTGTCTTACTGAAATACCCTGTCCTCTCACCCTCTACTGACATGTTCCCAGTACTACGTTGTATTTCCCAACCCACATTGTATTTGCACACCATCTCACCACATAATGCAAACATTTTTTCCTAAAAAAACCCAAATGAACAAAACAACAGCAGCAATAACAAAAAAAACCAAACAAGTGACAACTTGCTCTTTGAATGGAGCCGGGAAGGGGAGCACGGAAGAAACTATACAGTTCTGACTGAAGGTGCAACTTCCCTTTTATGGTACATACCTAGAGGTTCAGAAAATGGACACTAATCTTCTCTATGTTTGTTTTATTTTGCTTTTATAATTGCAGCTCTTACTTTTTTGCTAGTGAACATTCCAGTCAAGCCTGAAGTGCCAAACAACTAAGAACAGGTCGACAACACACTCCCTTCCTAAAATCTGAAGGGACAAAATGTAATAGTCTAATTTCTGGATATGCAAAAATTCACTGTTCTGTAAGCCCCTGCTAAAAATTGGGGCATCAAATGCCTTCATGATTCATTCAGCCATTTCCTCTCCTCATTTCTTCCTTTCTATCTCATAACATAGATATCAAGGTGCCTTATGTACCTCTCCTCAGAGTGCATCCATGAAGGAAGAAAAATTGGTCTGTTTTGTTCCTCAGTCTATGACCATTCCCCCTTCACTCATCTGAGGTGACAAGAAAACTGAGCCTTCTCAATCCCATATGAGTACCAGGATAAACATGGGAAAATTTATGCTTACAGTCACCAGATGAAAAGGCTAGAAGAGAGAAGCTAATAACTGAATCTCAGACCATGGGTTACAAGTAATCCCTGAAAAAGCAATGAAGTGGCCAGGCCAACAGTACCAATGCTGCTGGCAAAGCTACACAGATCAAAACATGCAGGTAACCAAAAGGCATGCCCATAGCTGCACAGTATGAGGGGTCTAAAATAAATTATGTCTGTTTATACAAGCTCCATTCACACTAAAAATGCTTGCCCACCAGCAACAGTGCTGCTACAGCTGTATCAGTGAAGCCCTTTCACTGAACCTGGTCTAAGCAGCAGCAGTACATTGAGCACATTGCCTCTCTCAACACCCTGCCCATAGACTGCTGTGAAGCTAACAGATTTTATGTGAGATCCGTAACAGGAAGCTCAGAGAAATGTTAATTAGCACCTATAAAATCCATGCTAATTTGAGCTAGAGTACAGTGCAAAATTCAATTACAAGAGGGAAATGCCTTCATTGGCCACCAGGGGAAGTTAGCTTCTAGTTTTACCTTTTGGTTTCGGGGCAAGTCTTGAGCATTTGCAGGAGGATTGAAATTCAAGACTAGTCTTCGAAACTCCAGTAGGTTAAATAATGACTGAAAAGAAAAAAATAAAACATGTTTAAGCAATTCTGTAAACAATACAAAATTCTTCCAAATATGCCTTTGCAAAATAGATGAAGTGTTAAACGTCTAAGGTTTCACTTCAGAAACTAGATTATTTCATTTAAATTTGCTAAACATATTTTCACCAGAAAATAATTATTTTTGCCAAGAAAACAGTCTAATCGAAAAAGCACGTTCTTTACACTTAAATAAATGGGACAATAAGTTTTAGATGACAGGTAAATTACTTTTACAACAAGAATTTAACTAATTGTATAACTATCAGTTTTCTAATTGAAATTAAAATCTGATTAGCCAAGTAAAATTAATCTTGTAGGCTCTCTATCATCTGCCTCCTCAGTGCAAAGAGTACATCTTTGTATATATAACTTAAATCCACTTGCAGTTATCTGTACTTTTTGCATTCTGTCCACTCCTCCAGTAATTATAGGATCTGAATTGTGTACGTTGGAGTAAGAAAACTGGGTTACACCTCTTAGCAGGTACTTTCTCACTTTACAGATACTAAGACATGAAAACAGGTGTCTGTAGGCACACCCTCAAAGAGCCCCCCAGCGCAACACAGAGCCTGGAGCCAGGAGAGTACAAGAACATGACAACTCGGGGGTCCCAAAAATAAGAAGTCCAAAGCAGTGGCTCAGAACTGAAGTGCTCTGGCACTTGCGTAACTGCATTGTTGCTCTTCTGTACAGGCAGAAAGCACTTTAGTTAAAGCACACTTCATTACCACAGACCGGCATTTTGATGAAGAAAGGGTAGCAGAAAATGTCTCAAGTATTTTAAATATGCTTATCAGAGAAGATCTGCCCTCCTATTCCTACCCTTTGGTTTTACAATCTATAATTAACTTCCTCCCCCTTCTCCCCCCATCACGTATTAGCTATTTATTTTGGAAAGGCAGAGCTTGCCTACCCCAACTACAGACTTCAATCCCACAATTTGTCCTAAACAGGCAAAGACCACAGCTGGTTTAATAGGATTTCAACCCCACAATGCTGAGAAAGTGAGACTCAAATTGTGAAGAGGCACTGCATTTATTCTAATAATTTACAACACGCTGGAAGAAAAAAAAAGATGAGTTTGTGAAAAGCTGCAATGTTCCTGACTCTCCTTGTGGAAAGGCCTGTATCGATTTAACCTCTTCCCACAGCCCACAGTATACAGCATCTCCAGCAAAATGAAAAGGCTAAAGTGGTCTTTCTTAACACTTTTAGATTTAAAAAAATAATCAAAACACAAACCAAAAAAAGACCTTTCTGACCTTGCAAAAACAACACAGACAATTGAGTAGTCAAGCTTTTTTTTTTCCTCAGCCCCTCGCCTCTGTTTTGCGGTTCAAAATACAGATTCCCCTTTTATCCGCCCTTGCAGAGGAGGGAGATTAAAACACAGAGTCTTTTGTTTACTTACTCAAAGCATAAAAAATGTTAATATTTAATTCAAGTGTCATTGCAAAAGTTGATACTAATTGATGTCTTATGATGTAACAGCATTCCACTGGTGGGCTCTTCGTCAAGCAAAACATAGCAATGTCTTACATACAAAATAAACCAGCTGCTGAAATACAATGTCCAAAGACTGACTTCTCACCACAACTAATCCAAGTGCCACCAAAGTGCCAAGCAGCTGAGCCAGCCAATTTCATAATACACATACAGAAAGTAAGTACAGAAAACTGTACTAAAGTTTAGGTATCTTGCCTGGCATCCAGTCCACAAGTTTTTCATTAAAACTGTATTTCATTAATCCAGAACTCTAAACTGTGAAAATGTGAGTCCATGCTTTACTAAGCTGAACGAATTATTTCTGAGAGCTGCTGAGAATAATTAAGAGGATTGTCTGAGATGCTCTTTCCTTCTTCAGCTTTGTTCTACTCAGAGTTTCTGATGCAAGATATTTAGTTATTAAACTTTTCTCCAAAACAGCTTACACTGTGTGTGGTTGTACCAAGATGCACCAGAATGCTCACAGTTAAGTCTGCTGCCAACACCACTAACGCTAACAGGACAGTATCATTTTGTACTGAGCTGAAGCAACTCCAGGAAACTTCTGTCTTCATCAAAACAAACCAAACTCATAATTTCCCAGTGCAAGTGTAAACAAGTATACAACAAGCGTGCCTGAGACCAACCAATTTTTATGCCCAAAGTACCTCAGGAGGAACCTACAGCTCTTCCTGAGGCAAGGCGACATAAACGAGCTCACCTAAGCCCTCACTGCGGCAGAGAGCTCCCACGGCCAACCACCCCAGTGCTGCAGATAGGGGCGAGGCAAAACAACTCCCAATTTGCCGAGCCAGTTGTTGACCAAGCTTCCTGCACCCAGAGTAGATGACAACACAGAGCAAAAGCTGTTCTTCTGCAGCCACCAAGAGAGACACCGCAGAGCCTGTCCCTGGCCCCAGTGCCACCCCCTGGCCCCAGCCCAAAGCAGCAGCCTTCCAAACACACGGCATGGGGCAGCCCTTCATCTCTTACCCACTTGGCTTCAGCTATGGAAAGGTGTCCGGAGTCCCAGTGCAAGAAAACACGCTGGATCTAAAAGGTGGATACTTCGTATTCACTGGTCTTGATCAAATATTCTTATAGTTTACCAAAACTTACGCATGCAAGAAAAATTCTCTAAAAGGTGAGGTTCTTTTTCCAGTGTATTTAAACCTATTTAAAAGCTGACATCCGGGAATTTGACCAAGTTAAGGCTAAGATTAAGTTATAGCAACTCAATTATCATGAAAATCGAGATATTTTTAGAATATCTGCCTCCTATTATGTCAGTTTGAGGGTTGAACAAGATAGTAAAAGAAAATTAGAATAAACAAGTGTCAGTTTAGGGCACTCAAACTAACTGTGCTGAATGACCACAGACATACTGCGGCCTTCCCCTACAATAGGTGGTGCTGATGGAGACGTATTTTCTGTCATGCCACGGAAACGTAAGTAGAGTTGTAGCTTCAAGACAGTAAGATACTAAAAACAGTCACTTTTCTGAGTAATAGCTACCCACACTACATACAGAGGTAAATGTAATTTCAGAATATAAACTGCCTCGGTTTTACCTAAAACACCCTGCTTTTCTCTTTTCCCCTCTTAATGTCTAGGATTATCAAACATAAGGACCTTGGCAGAATTTAGGTTGCCTGAGTAAAGGATTAATTCTTAGTATTCAAGAACTGTGACGCTGTATTAATACTGCAAGAATATAAATTAGCCAGCGTATTAAATCCATAAAAGCTTGGCATGCAACGCAGATTGTTAAGAGCCACCAGCAGAGTCCTAAAATAGTAAAGTCCCTGACATCAACTAAACTTGGAGAGCACTAAAACAGTACTTCTGCATCTAGATAAAAGATGACCTCTCAAGCTGCCACACAGAGTTTCAGACAGGCTCTCTCTGATGTGTACTTGCAAGTTCTGCAAACGCAGGGCACTAAAACCAGCTGCTTCACTAATGGATGGAGGAAACCTTCTGTTTTCTTTGACTAGCAATTTTGCATTTGTTTCCACCCTTCAGAAAAAAAAGCAAAACATTCTGCACAAGAACCAGGGAACTTGTAACATTGACCACCTTTATACAAGTTTACACAAAACCCGGGATTTCACAATACCATGAATACAGCCATCTCCCCATTCAATTTGTGAATGTCTTATCAACTCAAGTGATTCAGACTACTAATTGTAACCCAGTCAGCAAGATACCAAAAACATTCTCGTTTGGCAGAAAATCATCTAGGATGTGGCAGGCCAGTGTGCAGGCTCACTTTTACCAAAGTGAAGGGGATTAACATCAGGCAAGGATGCCATGACTTGTGTAGGTGTGCATAACGATACCTACGTGTCAGCAGCAAATACTGGCTAGGAATTCATTCAAAGTAGTGCCAAGGCTTGAGACTTAACATAAGAAAAGTTCAAAGACTAACTTGAATTTTGGCAAAGAAAATTTAGGATTTTGCTAGTAACCAAAACCTAAATATACCTTATTAGTGCAGCATGAAAAGCAACTCTTCAGCAGGGGAAAAGTATGCATTCCTACAGAGCAGCTAAACGAATTGCATTTAGCTAAAACATGATCTCATGTAATTTGAAAGCTTATATATGCATTAGTGTATAGTGACACCCATTTCACTCATTTAGTCATCCAGGTCCTTTTATGCATTTCCAATTTGACATGTATTCAGATTTTAAAGCCACAAAGCAGAGCCTATATCTACCTTCACTTGGTATAGCAAGCAGAGAGCAACATTAAAGAATGAATACATCATTACTGTTCTAAAAATAAACGACAAAAATAGAGCTCTGCCTACGTCATTAAAGTATATTACTTGGAATAGTTTGCCTCTGTCAACATAACACATTAGACTTACGTTCTCACTTCACTTTATAAACAGTTTTGGTGGTTTGCTGTATATAGAGCTAGTTGTAATGGGGTAGACAGGCCTTCATTAGGGTTAAATTCTTACTCGTACCAATAATCTAAATCAAAGAAAATGCCTAACTCTACAGAACGTATGAGCTCATCTGCATGCATTAGCATATGTTCCTTCCAATAACATTAAGAACTTTAAATTTACTAGTTATCAATATTTTAAGTGCTAAGGGTTCAAAATAAAAGCATTCCTAAATACCGCACTTAGGCCTATTAGTGACTTCCCAGGCCTGCAACGCCTCAGATTGAACACTGGTGTCCAGCAAAGCTCCATAATGCAAAAACAAGCTACTTCACAGGCAGCCAAGTCCACTTCTCTTCAACTTTCAAGCCTTCTGGATTCTTTACCACTAATCTGGGAGAATCACTTCTACCTCCTCTCCAAGGCCCATCCCTGCTTTTTCTATTTATTAATCTATTTTACTATTTCACCTTTTGGTTCATATTCTTGAGCCTGCTTTTCTCACAACAAAGTCCATGAAGTGGTTGGTTGTTGCCATTGCACTGCCTGCTCTGCTTCTTTCCACCCAGCACCTCCTTGTAACTTGC